TTCCTTTCCTCCCCATAGCGGCGCGACCTCCTGGCACTCCACGGTGCCCGTGCCCGACTGACGGCCGTCCAAAGTGGGTGCCGGGTCTGGCGCCCGGTGGGAGGCGGATGAGCAAGTACCCTGTGGCTGAGGCCGGGGTGGGCTGCGGGGCCCCTGGTGGCGGAGAAGGGCTTTGGCGAGGGCTACGCGGGAGCCGAGGGCGCGGAAGGTCGGGGTCGTGCTGCCTCCTGGAGCCGAGGTCCGGGGGAGAGGGGAGCAGGAGGTGGGCGCCAGGGCAGCGTGTGCGCGCCTGGGAACCCGGCTTGCGCGCGCGGAGAGCAGGGCGGCTCTCGGTGGCTCTGTGGCACTGCGGAGTGCAGACCCGCGGGCGGAGCTGGAAAGTCGGGCTGGCTGGGGAGCCCGGGGGCCGGGAGCTCGGTGAACCCGTACGTCCTTGCGCGCTGGTGGTGAAGCGGTGAGCGGAGCTGCCTTCCAAGCACTTGAGCCGAGCTCGATTACCGGCCAACGCAGCGTGCCCACCTTTTGCACAGCTGCAGGGCCATGGTGCCCAGCGCCTTGCGGGGGCGATTGGGCTGCCACCGAGGCCAGCGGGCGTGTGCGTGTGTTTGTGTGTTTTGGCAGAGGTGCACGGAGTTTTGGGGTGCTGCCAGCTGGTGGAAACAAGGCGTTTGAGCAGGGGAGGGCGGGGAACATCGGGGGTTGACTACGGAGGAGCTAGGTCCAGGAGGTGCACATTGGGAGTTTCATTCAGTCCTCCCTGGTGGTCTAGTGGTTAGGATTCGGCGCTCTCACCGCCGCGGCCCGGGTTCGATTCCCGGTCAGGGAAGCTTTTCTTCTGTCTCTCGAACTGCCGCCATTTCTCATACCTGCAGCCATTTTGGATGGCGCTGGGCCCAGTCCAGTCTGGCGCCCTCCACCATCCGCCTGCCCCAATGGTTGCCTCACCTCGTGTCTTTTTGACCTGGTCCTCTGCCTTTTCAGCTCTTCCTTCTTCCCAGCAGCTCTCCTGCCTCTGCTCTTTTTTTTTTTTTGGAGAGGATTTTATTCGCTAGTGCATGCGCTCGCCAGACAGAGACATAGAGACAGAAAGCGAGAAATCACCCCCCAGGGGGGATGGTCACGCTGCAATCCCTTCTCCTCCATTCTCCTCTGCGGATCTTGGGCACGCTCGCCATTACACTAACTGCTGGTTCCCCCTCTGCTCTTCTTGACCTCCAAAATCACCCCCATCCAGTGGGCCACCGTTCTCCTCCCAGCTGGTCAACCCACACACTCTCCTCTTTCCCCCACACACTCACTCACACGGGACACACCCCCGGCAAAAACAACACACACACCCAGTGCTCGCCACTCGCCTCCTCACAGCACAAGCGACTCTCGCAGCCAGCGTCCTGTCATGTAAAAACACCCTGTGGGACTCGCACAGCTCACCCTGGATCCGAGCACTCCTGCAGAGGCTCACGTGTGCCCCCACAGGCCACGGGCCAGGGCCTGCGGTCGTCAGGTCGCCTGGTGCCGACAGGCGTGTGGGCTCTTGAGTGCTTGCAGGCACTGGCACATTGTTGGCTTTGGAGGGGACGCCAGTGGAGCTCGTGGGAGCCGAGTGCCCTTGCTGTGGGGGGCAGGGAGCGGCAGAGGTGGGAAGGTGAATCTTGAGGGAGTCCGGTCACCTCACTAAGCCAGAATTGTTTTGGTGGACGCGATAAGATTGATAATGGCGCCAGAGGGGACCGCAAAACGAAAGGCCAGGCAGTGGAGCGTGGCAGTGACGGGTAGATGGCTGTCAGGATAGACTCTCCCAGTCCCCCCTTGATTCCGATTCACCTCCCAAGCTCTCCATCCTCTCTGACAATGGCAGGGGACATCCTGCAGACGCTCCTCCACTTGGGGGCCCGCCGGGGCCCCCCCTTTTCCCC